GGCTCATGTGGGGGAAATTATCTCACAACAACTCCAGCTTATGCTCTTCTACGTTTTATTGGTGGTGCTCGGACCATCACAGTCCATAGATCTCATCCACCCAGTCATCCAGCCATTCATTAATTCATTCTGTCAACACGTATCTGAGTCCCTATTACATCACCTGAAAGACGGACATAGCGTAATATTACTATTGTCAAAGGCTGTTTGGAGAATTAAGATAATTTCTATAAAGTATACTGCCTAGCACATGGTAACTCCTTGTAATAATTATTATCATTAAATAAGTCCTCAGAAGAGCCCATTGAAAGACCAAAAAAAAAAAAAAAAAAAAAAAGCCCTCTATAAATAGAGAGGGCAAAGTTGCATCTGAAGGGTGAACTATTCCTGGGGAAAAGATGGATTCCTTAAATTAAAAACTGGAACTGAGGACATGGCCCCCACTAGATAGCAGGAAGCCCTGGTCTCTTACTTTGGACCATGAAGTGTCAGGAAAGCCAGGAAGGTATTGCTTGGTAGTAGATGCTAAATTGGCACCTATCACTTAGAAATGGCTGGGAATGTGGAGTCAGATAAAAGAGATACAGACACAATTTAAAGGAAATAGGGTGGAGCTTTTAAGTCTTGGGAATAAGATAGTTATAATAGAATCAAAATTCTTGTCCCTTGTAGGCCAGGCTGATTAAATGTATTTTCTGTGTTTATTTCCCCATTGTCCTCCTTAACATTGAACAAAAGTTTTGTGCCGCTCTTACATGACTAGACTGCACTCAGAATACATCAGGAACAGTGCTAAAAAAGGAGCAGCCAGGCAGAACAAAGTCAGGGAGAAGCAGGAACCAGAGGGTTAGATTCCCCAGAGAAGAACAAGCACCAGGAGACCCTTCCTATGGCTAATCTGGGAGGAGCTGGGCTGATATCTGTAGGAAACTGCCAATTCCTTACAACCTGTTGCACTTCCAATCTATGTGACCTAAAACTGGGTTTTAAATCCTTTCTAGCCCAGACACAAACCCCAAAAAACTGTACAGGAAAATATTGACTGATTTGACTGCATAAAAGGTAAAAAATATTTGTATAACAAAAGATACCAAACTCAGTTGGGTGTGGTGGTGCATGTCTGTAATCCTTGGGGTTTACAGGCAGGAGGATCTCAAGTTCAAAACCAACCTCAGCAATTTATCGAGGCCCTAAGTAACTCAGTGAGACCCTGTCTCTAAATAAAATACCAAAAAGGGATGGGGATGTTGCTCAATGGTTAAGTGCCCCCAATCCTAGGTACCAAAAACAAACAAACAAACAAACAAAAAACCCCCCAAAACTGAATTACTAGCAAAGGAGTGGAAGAAAGTATTCATAAATTTTAATGTTTTAACATTGTAACAGGGAAGAACATCTCTAATGCATAAGGAGCTCCTATCATTCACCAAAAAAGATGAAAAAGCCAATGAACAAAAAATACAAATAATTTCAGCAGAAATAGATATGCAAAATGTCCATCTGCAGTTGTAATTAATGGGATGCAAGTTAAAACAAGATGTCATTTTTTTTTGCCCACAAAACGTAAAGGGAAGTGGGCAGTTCCTTTCATGGATGGCGACAATGAAAATGGGTATGCTTTTTAAAAGGAATTTTGCTGTATCTGTAATATTTAAAGTATGCCTACCCCTTGTTACAATTCACTTTCAGGAATCTACAGTGTCCAAATATCTCCACATGAAAGCAAAAATAGAAGGATGTCAAGGGCAACATAAAACACTATAAAGGGCTGGCGCTCATTTAAACAGAAGGATACTGAGACACAGAGAGAATTAGATAATTTGCTCAGGATCAAACAGCTAGTGTGTAGTACCGGCAAGATTTTAACCCAGGCAATCTTCTCTAGTCTTCCTCAACCACTATGCTCCTGAATAGAGAGTAAACACAATATTGGTAAAGCCCTGTTTACCACAGGATCCAGCGAAGCAATTAAAGACAATGAGAAAGATTTGTCTACCAATGTGGACATATCTCTAGGAAACAATAATTAAGGGGAAAAATTTAGGCTGCAAAATACTATTGGTATACATGTATGTATAAGCAAATATATATATTTGAGAATAAAGACCTTGAATGATAAAATAATGTATGTGGAAGAAGAATTGGAAGTGTAATTTTTCAGGTTATATTCTATACATTTCTGGTTTATTTGAACTTTTACAAGTATACATTCTTTCTTTTCTTTTTTTGATACCGAGGATTGAACCCAGTGGCACTTTACCACTGAGCTACATCCTTGGCCCTTTTTATTTTGAGACAGGGTCTTTTAAAATTGTTCAAGGCTTGGCCAAGTTGCTGAGGCTTGCTGCTGGCCTTGAACGTTTGATCCTCCTACATCAGCCTCCTGAGTCTCTGGGATTTCAGTCATGTGCCACCATATCCAGCTATTTGTGTATTTTTTTTTTATAAGACAGGAATTGTCATACTAGATAGCAAGAAGAAGGAAGGGGGTGGGGAGAAGGAGAGAGAGAGAATGTTTTCACTCAAACCAAGAGATTAGTTTTTTTCTTCTTCCAGGTAGACACAATGGTGTAAATGGGTAAATATCTTTTATGCTTTTATGACTTTTTCTTAGTCTATATAAATGGCCATACATAGAAGTTTCCCAGTATATGTAATATGTTGATCACTACTCTTCTTTTAAAATGAAGTTCCATGTGTAATGCTTGGGACCACGGCTTCCCAATCAAGCCCAGTAAAAATATATAGCTGATCATTGCAAAATTAATTTGTAACCCGAGAACCACATAGTGCTCTTTCTGCCTTGCATATTATTGTTACCAGGAAAAAGAATCCATAGTTGTAATTATCTAATTATTTTGCTTCAGTGCATAAGCAGGGGGAGTGTCTAGCTCACTCTTTGTGGTGGGATCTCTGAAGATATAAATAACTCAACTTACAGACTTAGAAGTCTTACCTTTTAACTTATAGTCAATATGAGATTATCTGAGATGAAAAAGCTATTGGATCATCTGGGGCCTTTTCCTGCATTAATCCAAGTAAGAGTGGCTCTACTCCAAAAGGAGGGCAGTTCCAGAAACCACTTGCTGATTAAAAGATTGCTTAACATGGGCAGGGTTTAGTCCATCTATGGACTTATCTTTGACCTGCTAGTGAGAAGGTTCTTAAGATTCTTACTACTTATGGATAACAGGTGGCAGCTTTTTTTGGGGGAGTGGCCCATGTACAGTATAGTTTTTAAATTTCTGAAGTTTTAATATGCTCTTAAACATCTTCACAGAAAAAAAATCTTACTTCGGAACAATCGTATTCTCTTCCCTTTCTCACAGCTGCTTATTTCATGTAGTTTTAATTAGCGTGCACAATTTATTTTGCATTTTAAAATTTTATTTCCCAGTACACATTTTCATGCACGTGCCAAAAATTTCACATGTTCCTCACAGTCTGCATACCTGCCAGAATTCTTTCTGATAATGTGACAGAGCTTGTTTGGATTATTCAATCGCTGGACAGTTGGGTCCCTTCCCAGGTCTCGGTCATTACGAACGTTCTGAATAACCCTGCTGTAAACATTTTATGCAAGCGCTCCCCCACTTCCCCCTTTGGATCATTTCCTTAGAAATGTACTTCCTTAAATGGGTTTACTGGGTCAAAGGGGCTCTATGAACAGTTTTATAGCTGTTGGCACATATTGTTCAGATTGCGCCCTGGGAGAGTGGACCAATGGCACCGGCCGCGAGCCGCTAGGAATGCGCAGGAGCGGTCCCTATAGCCTCCCCTCTCTCGCCTCCCGGCAAAAAAGGCCGCGGGTGGAAAGTGTTTTGCAGTCGCTCTCCCGTTCTCTCGACGTGGCTGGCGAAGCCCGGCCGTCAGGGAGGTGCAGGAAGGCTCCGCGAGCCCAGGCTTTCTGCCCTGGGGGCGGAAGCAACTCTTCCCGGCCCTCGCGCCCCAGGACTCGGATTCCAGCCGCCTCCGCTCTTTCCGAATTCCGGGCTCCAGCGCGCGGCGCCCCCGCCCGCCCGCCCGCGGCCTGGGAGCCGAGCTCGGCGGGCGAGGCCGCGACCCGCGCGCGCTGTTATTTTGGCGCGGGCGATGCAGGGCCCGCATAGCTGCGCGCTGAGTCAGCGGGGCCCGGGGACCCGCGAAGGGCCCCTCCCGGCGGCGCGGGGACAGGGACAGGGACAGGGCGGTGGGGGGGGGCTCCGCTTCGGAGGCCTCAGGGTCGGCCCGCCTGGAGGGGAGCCCCAGACAGCAGTCCCACCCCCGGCTCGGCGGTGACCGCGCGCCGGCCATTGAGAACCCCCAAAAAGGCGGAGGAGGGAGGCGCAAAAGAGAAGCGAAGTCGCTCGCGCAGGCAGGAGGGAAGAAAAGGCAGAGCGGTCGGCGAGCAGGGGCCAGTCGGCCGGCGGGAGCGCGCGCGGCGGTGTGGGCGGGCCGCGGCCGCGCGCGGGGGGCGGGGCTTGCAGGCCCGCGGGCACGCGCGCCGGCGGCCGCGGGCGGAGGGGCTTGTGGGTAGCGGCTGCGCGCGGCCGGGACGGGCCGGGGCGCGGGAGTGCGTGAGAGCAGAGCGGGCTCGTGGGACGGAGAGGCTGCGGCGACATGGGCGCGGGCCGTCGGCGGCCGTAGCTGACCGCGCCTGGGCTTCTGCCTCCCGGGCCCCGAGGGCGGGGCGGTCCAGGCGGCGGCTGCGGCGCCACTTCCCCGCTCCGCCCGCGGAGTCCTGCGGGAGCTCGCCGCGGACCAGTGGACCGGGCGGCGCGAGGCTGCCTGAGGGGCGGGGACGCCGTCTGCTCCTCGCCGCGCCCGGCCGTGCCGGGCCGGGCTGAGCGGATCCCGAGAGCAGTGCCCGGGCCCAGGCCGGGTGCGGAGCACCGGAGCCGGAGGCGGGCGGTGGGCCCGGCGGAGCCCCGCCCGGGGCCGGCGGTTCGGGGGCGGCGCTAGGCCCGGAGGCGGCGGAACCGGAGCGCGAGGAGCCGGACTGCGGGCCGGGCGGCGGCGGCATGAGCCGGCCCCCGCCGACGGGGAAAATGCCCGGCGCCCCCGAGGCCGTGCCGGGGGACGGGGCCGGCGCGGGCCGCCAGAGGAAGCTGGAGGCGCTGATCCGAGACCCTCGCTCCCCTATCAACGTGGAGAGCTTGCTGGTAGGTGGCCGGGAGCCCTGCCTGCTCCTGCCCCGGAGTCGGACCCCTCTGTCCACCCGTCGGTGGGGAGCGCCGAGGTCTCGCCCCACCCGCCCAGCTTCCGGCTGCGGGATCCGAGACCAGACGCTCCAGACTGAGCTCCTAGAGTGGGGACCCACCTCGGGTCCCTCCTTCCACCTCCTTGGGGCGGGTGTCATCCCCGCTGGCCCTTTCTTGAAATGCAGGGAGGAAACACCTCTCCGCTCCTTCCCGCCCACCCACTGGGTTTGGGGAGGAAAGTGGAGGATTGGCTGTCCCTTGCACCCAGACTAGCCGATTTGAAAGTGTCATGCTGCGTGGGGCCTCGGGTTCTAGCCAGGGAGAAGGAAACCTGATGCTGGCTCTCTGTTGGCAGTACCAACCTGGGTACATGACAAAGAACTGCTCCCACTTCTTTTACTAGGAAATCTTGGAACACATAGCTGAAGTTTTCCCGTTTTCAGTAGTTTTTGAACATTCCATAGTAGCTATTTAGTGTATTTAAATTTATGTAAATGTAATTTCCTCAGAGCCCCCCCACCCCCAAAAAATCAGTCTGAATTGTAGAATAGAATAAATCTTTCCCCTTCATTGTATCTTTCCTGAGATGGCCTTTGAATCCAAATTTATATCTATAAAGGCTACTAGTTGGCTCTTGATTAAGGAACATGTTTTAGAAATAAATGCACGGTAGAGTGCTGGTGTATTTCTGATTTCTGTTATGTTAGTTGATTAGTGTGCGGTAGAGATGTATTTATGGGATAAGATGGTGTGGACTTCTCTGGGAGAAGAAAGCGAAAAAGAAACTCTGACTATTAAGTTAGCTCTGGAAGACTAGCGTTAGGATGGGCAATCTGACATTTTGGGCCAGAACGCAGAAGTTCAGTTCTGGGCCTGCTGGGAGAAACCTAGTGAGTATATATGATCTCCTCCCTTCCCACTGATTTTTTGACTTTTCTTCCGAGGCCCTCAGTTGTCCTTTGAGGTTTCTGGACTCATTTGCAAAGTGACTCCCTTCAGTTTGGCCAAAATGCAGCAACTGATTGGAGAGTGTGATTCTTTCTGTACATTATGTAGAATGTAGTGATGTACTATATTGTGTCAGAATGTAGTGATGTTATATCAGATATTTTTGATTTTTTTTTTAAACTGATTTTTGGGTTTGTGTGTTGTTCCTGTGTTCTCAGGGGAGCATGATACTCTGGACAGACTTTGGAAGTCTTAAATTGGTAGTGGGATTGGTTGCCTAGAGGTCCTAGCCTTTCTTTAGCTGAGGCAGTCTCTGGGCTTCTCTCCCAGCATTCTCGCTTTGGTATTTTGCTAACAAAACTTTGACCTAAGGCCAGAAAGTTCAGTTAAAAATAGTACCTGTAAACCTCAAGCATTCATCAGGTTCAAACTCAATCCCAGATATAAATTTTTTACACTTTCATCTTGAGTCTTTAGTGATGTTAATTATTAGTGTTATTCAGAGGTTGGAACTAAGTTGTTTATATGTTTGATATGAATATACGTTTTTTATTAAAGTATTTTCTAAATTACTAAAAGGAAGGCTGTTTTAAAAAGAAACATTTCACATTCTCAGTAAATTTAGTCTGTTCGTTTATTGAGTGCTCAGTACCACTAAGACACATTTGCTAAGATGACACATTACTGGTATGGGCTGCACTTCAGATGCTGCTGACTTGATGGCACTGTTCCTGCTGCTTTTAGTTGATTAAGTCTTTCTGAGTATGAATATGAATGGGATTCTGAAGAGCAATAAATATTACCAAGCCAAAAATTGTTCCTTACTCTTTGGACCAAGATTCCTCATGCTTCTGTTGCCAGTTGACAAAACTGGAAAAAAAAAATCTCAAAGTTATAGCAAATTAATTTCAAATTATGTAAGTGCTAGGGCCAAATTATATTGTCATATTGTGTGCATGTGTGAATATGTAACAACAAATCCCATCATTATGTACAACTAACTATAACAGTAAAGAATGTGGGAAAAAAATTATATATTTCATCCTATTAAATATTAGAATAAATTAATGTTTTAATTGTGACAGCACATACATAAAATTTATGATTTTATCTTTTTTTTTGGGGGGGGGGGGTGCCAGGGACTGAATCCAGAAGTACTTAACCATTGAGGCACATTCCCATCTCTTTTATATCTTATTTTGAGACAGGGTCTCACTTAGTTGCTGAGGGTCTAGCTAAGTTGCTGGGGCTGGCTTTGACTTGCAGTCCTCCTGCTTCATCCTCTGAGCCTCTGAGGTTATACGTGTGTGCTACCACTACGCCCAGCATTTTAAACATCTTCAAGTGTTCAGTTGAGTGGCATTAAGTCCATTTACACTGTTGATCAACCTTTTCATCTTTCCATACCAAAACTCCGTAAATTATAAGAACTTCTGTGTTCTGAAATAATGGCTCTTGTCACTTTAAAGATTTGAAACTTTCCATCTAGACTGTATTTCACAATTGATAAGTATTTTACTGCACATCACATTTCTTTGGTTTTGCTCTAGGAAAATAAATATTTCGTCTTTAATAGAGAAAACTTAAAGGAAAATAGTCTAATACAAACCCAGGCATGGAACTTAATACTGCATTCAGGAGTTCAGAAAGTACGGTTGAAAATTGTTTATTGCAGAACATGACAGAAGTGAGAAGACAGAGTATGCCAGAAGTAAATGTATCCTGCCTGCAGTAGTCTAGGCCTAGAAGACAGACCACAGGTGGGGGAAAAGTTACAAGATGACCTGTAAAATGCTTACTGTGCTCAGTGCTTGTTACATAGTAAGTAGTGCTCATTGAATGCAGTTCCCTTCTGTGTGCATTTAGCATATTTTTAGTTAATAGCTTTAAGTTTTCTTTTCCTTTTTTTTTGTTAATATTTATTTTTTAGTTTTAGGTGGACACAATATCTTTATTTTCTTTTATGTGGTGCTGAGGATTGAACCCAGTGCCCCACGCATGCCAGGCGAGTGCGCTACCATTTGAGCCACATCCCAAGCCCGCTTTAAGTTTTCTTTGAAAAAATAATTTTATTTACAACTGTTTCTTGTTACATAATTTTGAGTGGATATCATCATTTGAATTTACCATCATAAAACTGTGAGAAAGAATAGATAAGAGCTGAATTCCAAGACTATCTTTGTAGAGACTAAGCTATCTTGTTTCTTTGCAGAAATCTAGTTGCTTTACATGGGTTCTTAAATTAATCCAAAGAAAGTATATCTCTTTAGTGGTTACAGCTTGGGAACTACTTTCAGGTGGGAGGGGCTTCAGTGATATACATTTTTCAGTTGAACCTTTGGGTTAATACTTGTATTTTGTCCAGATTCAAGTTCTCCTACTGCTTGCCTATGATGATAAAAAGAGAGATGTCTTTCTAAAGTCTTTACTTTTGGATTTTGATTTATTTTACTCTTTCAGGGTGTTAGTAAATAGTCAAAACAACCTGTAGAACACTGTTACTTAAGACTGTGTATCGGCAAAAGTGGTTAAAGTTTATTTGCAATTTTCAATGACTTAGAAAACAAAACAATTAGATTGATATCAGTATACCTGTAAACTGTATAAAAAATATTTCTTATTATAGTAGCTAGATTCTTTCAGCTTAATGCTGTTTTTTTCTAATTAAAATAAGATCATGTGGTGTTTTTCCCACTATGTAGTGAGAATGTTATGAAGATATAATAACAAAGAAATAGAAAAGAGGATGAAAAATGTTTTGTGTTTTTTTAAAAGTTGGACACAGTATCTTTATTTTATTTATTTATTATTTTTTATGTGGTGCTGAGAATTGAACCCAGTGCCTCACATGTGCAAGGCAAGTGCTCTACAGCTGAGCTATAACCTCCCAGCCTCTGAAAAATGTTTTTATACATGTTTTTCTTTGTGAAATAAGGGATGGACATTTGCATCATATAGAGTAGTTTGTTTTTTGTAAAACTGTATTTTGATGATTAAGAAATCTTTAAAGAAAATGAATTAGTTCAAGTGATGCATGCAATTTACTATTTAGGTGAAGTTGAACCTCTTTTCAGGTCCACAGTCCCTTATCCACAAGACTGATACATAAAAATAAATTTTGCTAATATTTATTTGATAGTAACATCTGGCCTATCTGATGCTTGAATGTTTGTAGTCCATTCACCCCTCTTGAGAAGCTAATAATAGCTTTCAATGGAGAAATATTAATATGTTTGATTTCAGGATGCTCCCCCATATTCCCAAAGGGCTTTAGGGAATATACAGTATATATTCTGTATTATTCTAAAAATCCAAAAAAATTGTAGTTTGAAACATCTTGGCCCCAAGGTAAGGTCAGTGTAGACTAAGGAAATGTAGGTTTGTGTAAATAGTTGTAAAGAATAGTGAATAATTATCTTAAAGTATAAGTTTTTTTGTTTGTTTTTGCTTAGTCTTGACCAGATAATTCTTTTTTCCCATTTTGAATTCTAAGATATTAAAACAATATAACTTGTAAATATAAGGATTTTTTAAAAATATTTATTGAGTTGTAGATGAATACACAGTATCTTTATTTTTTTATGTGGTGCTGAACATTGAACCCAGTGCCTCAAACATGCGAGGTAAGCTCTTTACCTCTGAGCTGCACACCCAGCCCCGCAAATATAAGCTTTGAAGCATGAAAAATTCATGAAATCACTACACAAGTTAGTAAATACATCACCAATTCATTAAAGTATCTGTGTGCTGCTGCTGCTTAATTCAGTGTTTGTGCCTCCTTTCCTGTCTGCTACCCTGAAAGTTTTATTGTTTCTTTATTTCATGAATTACTACATTTGTGCATATCCCTAGAGGATATTGTTTTGTTTTATTTTTTCTTAACTTTCTAAAATGTTAACATTTGTATCTATTCTTTTGTGACTTGCTTCTTTAACTTGTATAGCTCTCAGTAATGTAACATAATGCAATTTAATAGTTTAAAATTTTTACTAACATTTTATTATAGAAAAATT